GTCCCATTGCTATGTCATTTGCGACGGGTTTCACCTAGTTGTTATTAATTTGTGAATCGCGTTGGTTCAAGTCTTTACAATAAACAACCCACAAATATACAGAGTCAATCTTCTAAGCTGTTAAACAAATAAATAGCTTAAACAAATAAAGATATACAAATCGGGAAGAAACAAATACCAACATGAGCAGTTGACAAATGGTTAAATTTTGATAACATAAAATTGAGTTAAGATCAAAGAAGAATGAAATAAGCCTAAATAATTTAAATAAGCTGAGTTGAATCACTGTTTTACTATCTGAAATTTAATCCAGAGGGTAACTTTGTTTTCAGTACCAACTGGTGAGCCAATTCATAATTTTTTAAGACCAGTAGGTTGCATCATATATACTATGGTTGCATTTAGGGATTTGATGTAGGTTTATGTATATATAAATATATGGGTTTGATACATAGAAATTAGACTAAAATAAATTCAATAAGGGATATTTGCGACGTCCCTGTGAGAACGGATGTCAACCGGATGTCACAGCTATAAAACTACATTCCTAAGAGATAAGGGAATTTCCAGTTTCAAGTACATTTATCTAAAAGCCAAAACGAGCAGCATGAGACGTCTACTTTATTTATTTCCAATACATTTTTTCTGCCGCATCTCTACTTTGCTGTTAAAAGTGTTGACTTTGACAAATAACATTTTAAGTGTTGCAAACTGTTATTGAATATATGAAATCAAAGCTTGCATTTAATCGTTAAAATAACGAATTATTTTACACGCAAACAAATGTATAACATAAAAAAATACTATGTTTATAATCAGTCAATGAATAAACATTTAATTGTAATCAGCACGCATTAAGGGATTACAATGTTATATTGTTTCACTCTTGTAATGACCTAAAAAAGATGTTGTATTGTATTTAATTCTTCCTAGCTAAAGGAAGTAATTATGTTATTATCAAAATCTAATCTATATTACAGTTAAATTATAACCTTTTCCTGAAACTTTCCCGCAGGTGTAACAAATATAACCATAGAATACGTGATTTGTAGTAGCATACTAAGGTTTTTATGTTAGTATAAAACAGTTTAAAGTTTGTTCAGCGATTTAATTTTTTTTTTACCATACATTAACAACAATTAAATCACAAGCATAAAATGTAGGCCTATATAGTCAAAAAGTAATATATTATATATAATCGATATACATAAAAATATCGATTATTGACATCAAACTTAGATCAGCACAGAATGGCACGGCATAGTAGGGATGCGGCTTTAATTCTGGTACTGTATGGATGTGTCTATTTAAAACTGTTATCTACTTTTTTACGATCCTTTTTACTTATTACATTTACAATACACATCTCCATCTACTAATAGTTTGACATTAAAACTCTTGTATTTTATTTTTAGATTGTCCGGTCGCTTACCATCGGATACAAACATTCAACAACTAAAAATTGTAATAATTGTTATTACAATTTATTGAAATAAGCCTAGTAGTCATTAAAGAATTTTTAACACAGAACATTAAATCATGAAAACAACTCCATTTTGCAAATTAAATACAACAGTTGAGGATGGAAATATTGTTTCTGGCAATTTTTCACAGAATAGCGTCCGGTTACCAAGTCATCTTAAAAACACGCAATGTACAAGCAATGCGGTGACGGCAATAGTCATGAACAAATTGCATCCTGTAACTAAGTGGTCCAAAAATGATATAGATGAAATTTTGGTAATTGGAAACTCCAAACACATAGAATCGCAAAATGCACTAAAACTCAAGAATAACACGACTCCTCCGATTTATCTTGCCGTTGATGAATTGGAACCTAAATTTAATGTAAGACGTGCATCAAGCACAGTGACAATAGCTGACGAAATTTACCAAAACACAGTTGGTCGTTATTGCAATAATCTAATCACGGAACTGAATTCATTCTTTTGTAATCATAATGCTGGAGTCTTCACCTCAAGGTTGCTAACTGTCGCCCTGATAAAAGAAAATGACACTTCTTATTGGATATTTGATCCACACTGCAGACATCCTGCGACTGGAACATTTTCCGTTGATGGTGTTGCAGTGTCATGTAATAAAAGATCTGTAACCTCTCTACTCAATTTGATGATGGAAAATTTCCAATTTTGTGACGAGTCATTATTCACAATCACCCCCTAAATGTCAGTGTCAGTGAGCATAAAGACATTACAAAAGACACAGTAAACCCAACATGTGATTCGGGAATTTGTGAGGACAAAATCTTCAAAACGATAAGAGGTACGAAACGTTCCTAAGATACTACATTGATACCGTGTAGTATCCGTGAACATGCCCTCTATTAAGTTTTTATAGTGGAATCGCTGCACGCATTTCTATTGACCCATAATATCGCCGTCAATAGATTTCGCGTGAGCGCTTCGTCACTATTCTGACCCCTGGAAGACGCTGAAACGTTCCTGAGATACTACATTGATACCGTAGTATCCGTGAACATGTCCTCTATTAAGTTTTTATAGTGGAATCGCTGCATGCGTTTCTATTGACACGTAATATCGCCGTCAATAGATTTCGCGTGAGCGCTTCGTCACTATTCTGGCCCCTGGAAGACGCTGAAACGTTCCTGAGATACTACATTGATACCGTAGTATCCGTGAACATGTCCTCTATTAAGTTTTTATAGTGGAATCGCTGCACGCGTTTCTATTGACCTGTAATATCGCCGTCAATAAATTTCGCGTGAGCGCTTCGTCACTATTCTGCCCCCTGGAAGACGCTGAAACTTTCCTGAGATACTACATTGATACCGTAGTATCCGTGAACATGTCCTCTATTAAGTTTTTATAGTGGAATCGCTGCACGCGTTTCTATTGACCCGTAATATCGCCGTCAATAAATTTCGCGTGAGCGCTTCGTCACTATTCTGCCCCTTGGAAGACGCTGAAACGTTCCTGAGATACTACATTGATACCGTAGTATCCGTGAACATGTCCTCTATTAAGTTTTTATAGTGGAATCGCTGCACGCGTTTCTATTGACACGTAATATCGCCGTCAATAGATTTCGCGTGAGCGCTTCGTCACTATTCTGGCCCCTGGAAGACGCTGAAACGTTCCTGAGATACTACATTGATACCGTAGTATCCGTGAACATGTCCTCTATTAAGTTTTTATAGTGGAATCGCTGCACGCGTTTCTATTGACCCGTAATATCGCCGTCAATAAATTTTGCGTGAGAGCTTCGTCACTATTCTGCCCCCTGGAAGACGCCGAAACGTTCCTGAGATACTACATTGATACCGTAGTATCCGTGAACATGTCCTCTATTAAGTTTTTATAGTGGAATCGCTGCACGCGTTTCTATTGACCCGTAATATCGCCGTCAATAGATTTCGCGTGAACGCTTCGTCGCTATTCTGTCCCCTGGCAGACACTGAATCGTTCCTGAGATGCTATATTGATGATACCGAAGTATCCGCAAACATGACCTGGTCAATGTTCTACCCACTGAAAGACGCTTCTACATCTTATGGAAATTGGAGTTAAATGCAATGATATATAAAATATATCGTCCCATTGCTTATTTCCCGTCCTTGTGCTACAGCTGAAGCCAATTTCAGCTGTACCTATATTGTTATAAGTTATTAACTAACATACTATTAAAATTTCACATCAATATTCAATATTCATCGCAACAGACTTTTTAAACATAAGGTATTACAATTGTATTGAAACCACGCATAAAATAGATAGGTAAACAATTTATTCCTGTACTAATTAATAGGTTGAACTGATGATAAAGATATTTTTTTTTAATTTGAGACTGAAAATCATATTATTATGTTGCCAAACTCATAATTTGCACAAGCTTATTTTTCAGGCAATAGCCTACTGGTTGTTTTAAATATATAATATACACGGGCTTTAATGCAAATATTTTATATTCCATAAAGCATATTATATTATATATAAATAATATAATAAATTATATATTTTATATATATATATCAAGCATATTATATATTATTTATATTCCGTAGCACTTATGACAGTGACTTAAATCCACTCCAAGTAGCTTCAACTCAGTCGTCAAACGTTGAAATAACCTATAACACGTAGACCGGAGAAGCGGGAGAAGAGTACAATAAGGAGAGAGAGAGCGCGTGGTGGCCTTGAATGGCGAGACCGCACGCACGCACAGGCGCGCGCACTATTTATTGGTGAGTTATTGGCAGATTCACATCAATACTTAATTCAATCAGAACAGGGTTTTTCTTTAGAAATGAAGATTTTCTCTTATATTATGGGCTATTAAGCTGTATAAGAGCACTTAATAAAGAATTTTGAATTTTGAATTTTTTTTAATTTTGTAGAAAATACCATAAGTTTAATTTACAATGAATTTTTAACCGTAATTTTTACAGAAATTGGAGTTATACCATTTTGTTCTGAATTTAAAGGGTTACAACATAAGTTACTACTATTTTTTTTCAAAATCGTTCGCGCAATTTTTGAGAAAATCCGATTTTCGCGTTATTTTATGGGTTTTATGAGAAAATCAACATTAAAATCTAATTTTCCAAAAATAAAAAATAAAAACGCCCGGAGAAACCATGGATTAGTACCTAAATAAATACCAAATTTAATCCAAATCTGACCCAAAATGTCAAACATCAACACATAGGCCTACCTACAGACACACCAACATAACTTACATACACACATACAGACATCAATTCAGTGGATATATCCACTCAAAACTCATACTCAAAAATTTTGGCGTAAACAATACTTTATCCATATAGCCTAATAATATGGGGATAAAGTAAAAATAAGTTGTCAAAGATTTGCTATACCCTCCAGAATAAACTCGTACCGTACCAAACATACGGAAAATAAAATAAACTGACACTATGACAATTTTTGTCATATGGGCATTTTGGAAGCACAGATATTTGACAAAAAATCTTCATATTGCCAGTTTTAATGTTAACTTACCAACTAATAGTTCCTTTGGTGTTGTTAAGCTGATTTGCCGGACCATTTATAGTTCTGGGAGACACAAATTGTTGAAAAACTGCTGGTGTTTTCTGTTCAACTTCTTCAGAGGTTAACAACTTGTCACACATAAGGTTTTTAGCATCAGTTGTGAGAACATCCCCACCATTCATCACGTTTGAAGCAGGTTGCTCAGAACTTGCCATAATCATAGTTTTTCAGCTATAGCCTAGTCAAAAGAGTGTGTCAAATTAAAATAAGTTGATAGCCTAAGTACAATGTAACTTAATTAATTATTGCAACAAATAATCAATAAAAATGGATAAAAAGCTTCTTTCACCAAAAATAATGAAGAAAATATCAGCAAAACAGCGCTAATGTTTGGAGGTATGCCTATGCCTACCTAGGGTAACAAAATTTGTGTAGGCCCTAACTTAATGAGTTATCTTTAGTAGATTTATATATTTATGAGATGAAAGAGTAGGCCCTAAAATGTATTTGTTTAGTAGAATGTAATATTGCCAACTATTAAAAACTACAATAAATAGTACAATAAACAGACTTGAAACATTTCGTTTTAACAATGTCAACACTCACATCATTCAATCGCACAAACCAACCATAACCATAACCCATAACCAAACACCCAAACCAAACAAACAAGGAAACAAGACACAAGAACGAGGCAGACAAACCTGACAAACAGCTGCCTATTGCTTGACACAACGATTCTGAGCTGAGCAGTGAGCTGAGACAGCGACAGCACAGCAGTGACACTTACCACGGCAATATAGTAGTCTAGCGTTGAGCATATTTTCACCACAAAGAAGAACTAGTTTTTCCTACAGTTAACCGACAAAGTGGGCTTCCTTGCACTGATTATAGAACAGAAAGCTGCTAATTGCTGCATTTACTTACTTTGCCACACACTACTTGTCAGCACTTTTGTCAGTTTGTTGCAGTTTTTTTTAACTCCAACCAAACAACACAAAACGCTATGTTTTTGTAAAAAAAAAACTAAAAAATTACACTTGAAAAAATTAGACTAAGAACTTTTAGAAGGTCCACAGATCTGAAGCAATCATTTTCTGAAACTCTAATTTAGCCTGAGAGTTTGTCTGGAGCTAACCGTCATGCTTATTCAGAGGTAATAGGTGGGTCCGTTGGTACTAATTGTATGAAAAAATCACAATCTGATATTTTAAAACATTAATTAATTATGTCCAGGCATTTCTTTCAGAAAATCAAGATATTTTTATCAATTATCAATCATTGAGATGGGGACGCCACCGTATTTTGACCCAAATATGGATGAGTGGATATAAAGGATGAGTGTAGAATGGTGTGTGACATGTGTAGTTTTTTTACTGACTAAGATCAGCAGTTTCATTAGCCAGGATCATTTATTTAAAAGCCCAATGATCAGGAACAGCTAGGTCCAGTTTCGAACCATCAAAAAGCTACTGACTTTTCTCAGGATCGAACCGGCGATCTTTTGAATAATGATATAGGTAATATATGTGTGAGTACTTCTTTTGTCTTTTGTACTTAAATTGTTTTGTACAATTTGGATTAAATTTAGTATGTAAATACTAAATTACTAATCCATAGTATCTCCAGGCGTTTCATTATTTTTTTTTAATCTTGATTTTCAATTGTGATTGACCCATAAAATCCATAAAATAAACGGAAAAATCGGAAAAATCTGATTTCCCCAAAAATGGGTACACATCCTATTTGTTTTATATATTTTCTTTCATAGGTTTCCATTAACTTAACTTCAAAATTCACGCGTGTTTCTGTGGCCTAGCCTATGTAATCATTAGCATAGATAAAACATTAGTCAGATTGCATACTTCAAAGCCGATATATTTAACAAAATACCCCTATTACATATTTGGTTAGGGCTAATACATATATATTTAAAGTTTAGGTTATAAATTAATTGAATAGTTAATATGTGATACCATAGATAAAACATAACTCGTGTTGGTTAGTCTATGGTGATACATAGGCCGAACTTGTCCAAAACAAACACTAAAGTGTAAAAACATACAGACAGCGCAGCGCAGCGCAGCGCATGTTTTAAATCAAAACCGTGCATTGAAATGAGGTATGACATACTAGTAGCGTATTTCGGCGTAGCGTAGCGCAGCGCAGCGCAGCGTACGACCGAGGAACAAACTATTTTGTTTTTCTCAGAGCGTATTGGAGCGCATTCGACTGCAGACACGCTTAAGAGTCAATTCTAGTCTCTTTTCTGCACCAATTGGTCCCCTTCAATTAGTTGTAAGCGTCTCTCAATCACCAAACTAAATATGTGATCGAACGTTGTAGTCGACATTCTTGCATAATTCTTAAACCGAGTCTCGTGTTTTTTAAGGATTGGAAATAAGATGTATTCACCATGCCTGTTCCTGCCTTTACACACTTCATGGGGTCGCCGGAATTTTATCCCCCTGGAATTTTACCCCCTGGGCAAAGCTGACGTCACTATGACGTAGTAACCTGAGGGGCCAAAAGTTTGTTCGCGGCCGGAATTTTACCCCCGCGGTTCCTATATATAATTCCGGGGGGTAAAAAGACGGGCCGTACACTCTAGGTTTTTATAATTTGATGTGTTCTGATTAAATTCACAACCGTGAAAATATATGTTTAATTCCGCGTTTAATCCATCAAGCTGATGTCGCGAAACTCAAAAGTTCGCGGCCGGAATTTTACCCCCTGGTTTGTGACGTCACGTTTGCCCAGGGGCTAAAATTCCAGGGGGATAAAAATCCGCTACCCCACTTCATGCACCCCGACACTTCTCCTACTGATCAAAAACTGCCACCTTGAGGTATTTTCGACAAAACTGATACGAGCCGTCTTCGACAGAGCCATCTTCTATACTGATGTACCGGGTACACTATTAAGACCGTCTACAACCTATGTTGCGCTACGCTACGCTGCGCTCTCTGTGTGTATTGGACTACGCTGCGCTCCTATACGCTACGCTGCGCTGTGCGACGTTGCGCTACGCTACGCTGTCTGTATGTTTCTACACTTAAGAAGTAAGTAGTCGACTATTCGATAATAGTCATGACGTCACTGCACTGCTTTGCGAATGGTGAGCTAGCGCTCTCCGCGGTCACAGTGGGGTCGCGTTCCGGACAGGCTTACGGGAGCTATCCATGACATGGACCATCCATTGATTGTCCGTAGATCCATGACATCATAAGTTTTACTTAACTATAAAATTAAGAAAAGTGATAAAATTAATTTTATAATTTTTTTATTATAAAATTGCCATAACCTAACCAAACTTGCTGATAATGATAAAATCGAATAAAGGTTCACTAATCGAAAAAATAGATCTGTTAATAAAATAAAATTATTATAAATGCCTCAAACTCTAACAAAATAGATGTACAGTCAATGAATAATCACATTCTAAGCTAAATCTCTGACAAAAAGTTAGAGCCTCCGGTGGGACTGGATCCGGCGAACCCCCTTTCAACAGCCTGATACGCTATCCACTATACCATCAAGACCGATGGCTCTACACCGTATCATTGCTCTAATGGTGTTCCCTCAAGAGAAGAGACTGACGTCCCGCCATAATATCCAATAGAATTGTGCGTCACGGAGCGTCACGTGAGCCTTCCGTAAACTAGACCCAGTCGGAGTGGTAGGAAACTATATATATATTTTTTTTAAGGGAGAGGAGGGAAATACTTTTACGCACACAGGTAGCCAGCCTGTAGCGTGAGACTCCTGAATCTATCACAGACTACTCACTAAAAACCCCTCTACTCTGTTTCTGTTGGACACAGACCTGGAATTGTTTGTCACATTACTTCAAGTTAGGCCAACATGTGACCTAAGCCCTCAGGGCTCTCACCATTTTTGGCATTTAGATACTTTATGACCTACACAGCATCCCGGTCAAGGTCGAGCTTCTTGGCGTGGAGAATACCCTGGATGTAATGTGACACACAGGTCCAATTGTCCTCACCCTCCGTCATCATCGGTATAACCGTGTCCACCGAGAGCAGTCCTACTAACTGTTACGTCACTACTGTTACTACTGTAACGTCATCGGGAATGCCGAGGTAGTATATGCAATCAAGTAACACGGCTTTGCCCCTTTCTGAACAGGTACGACCGGAAAAAGCCGTGACACGTCAGAAGTTGGGTGAGGTAGAAGTCCACCTCTCCGCACCGCCGATTAACCCAAGGTTGGACTTGCTGTATTAGTTGCCTGGTCCAGCGTTCCCGTGTCTCCTGTTCCCAGCTCTCCTGTCACAGCTGGTAGGTGCGGGTGCGTTCCTCTGTTCGTGCCTGGTCCTTCCCACGGCGCTGATAAATTGCCTTTCTCTCCACCACCAAAAGTTTGGCGGGGATGACTCCAGTAACCACCAGGACGGTTGGTTCGGACACTGTTTGGTAGGTGGATGCAACTCTTAGTGCTGCCTGACGCTGCACTCGGGCGAGCCGCATCCTATATACCTCATCCTTATTGAGAGCGTCTGCCCACACCTCCGCACCGTACAAGAGTACGGACTGGACAGAAGACATTAACAGCCTTCTACGGCTGGACCGAGGCCCTCCGACATTGGCCATCAACCGGCTAAGAGAGGAAACCACCCTAGCGGCCTTATCCGCCGTACGCAGAATCTGATCCCGCCAGCTAAGCTTGCTGTCCACCATAACCCCAAGGTACTTGGCAGAACGAACGGTCTGGATTTCGACGGCCCCTACCCCAATGGCACGATGGTGTCAATCCGTTTTTTTTTTTTTAATATCACGATCTCAGTTTTTTTTAAAGCAAGCGAGAGACCGTGGTCTGCCATCCATGCGTTTATGGTACTCATAACACGGTTCAGCTTTAGCTGAGCCAGCTCAACGCTATGTGCAGCTACCAAAACTACAACGTCATCAGCGTACCCAACCAAAACAGTTTCCTCAGGCATATCAGACCTTAGAAGGCTGTCATACGCGACATTCCAGAGGTCTGGGCCGAGTATGGAACCTTGGGCAGCACTGGAAGTGACACTCATCATCCGTGGACCTTATGTAGTGTGTCATATATGAGGAGGCGGAACCGGAGACAATCCTCTATGATACGCATGAGGTATGCTGGAACGTGGAAGGTGTTCTCCAGAGCATCCAGCATATCGCACCACCTCGCGGAATTAAATGCGTTTCGCACATCGAGTGTTACGAGCAGCACAACCCTACGAGAGTAGTGGTTAAAATCCTCAGCTCTCATCACGGCTTCCTTCACCTCCTCAACAGAGTCAACCGTAGATCGCCCCATCCTGAATCCATACTGACGAGGGGACATGTTCTCCACCACGACCACGGCTGAATTCAGTCGGGAACGGATCAACTTCTCGAGGACTTTGCCAGCCGTATCCAACATACTAGGAGGTCTGTAAGAGGATGGCAGGTCTGGGTCTCCCTTCCCCTTCCCAACAAGTACAAACCTAGCTGTTTTCCAGCACGAGGGGAAAACTCCTTCGACTAGGCAGGCATTGTATATGCGCAAAAGGATCAAGGGGTTAGTAGTCAGCACCTTCTTGAGGACTTCGCCGGGTACCCCATCGGATCCAGGAGCCTTATTGTTCTTCAGGGATAGGACGGCCGCCTCCATCTCTCCAAGACTGAAAAGTGGTACGTAATCCACCCTTCCGAAATCCT